TACCCTAAGATCGCGCATCTATTCAAAAGTATTCTTAACAAAAAAACATTATCCTTGAGATTTTGTTTAAGGCATTTCATCATAACAATTTTTTCTAATTACAGCTAAAGCCAGTACTTTGGGTAAGGAAAGTCTCTCACGTTCACTTGTCATACTAACTAGAGTGTTCCAAGAAACGCACGTGTCGCCTTCTGTTAGTTTCGTTAAAGATGTTATTTAATCTTAGAGTGGTCAGCTATTTATTTGCGACTTGTATAACGCATTACAGTTCATGCATTTGGGAGCAAAGAAAAAAGCCACGGATAGTAGGACTGCGATGGAATCTGACAAACAAATAGAAATATAAACCTTCAACCCCTCAAAGCTAAAATGAATATAGATAAAAAATTAAATATTAAACAATAAATTATTGTTCATTTAGTTCTTCAAAAGAGACATCAGTTTGTCTTTACCGCAAATGTGAGTCTTGGAATGGCGACCCCGATATATTTTCATAGTTCTTAAACATGTTAAAATTTAAGTTTTTTATAGTTACTGTATATCATACGGTGTCAATTTACATTGTCATGAGCTCATAAACCTATAATTGCATATTATTGAATCCCTGGCTCCCTGAATTCAAGAGACATAACTACAATTAAACCGTCTGCAGTATACAATCAGAAATGACACAATCAGCATATCTTTCCCCATTTGCAATCCAAACAAGTCTTCTTCATCATGCAAGTCAATAGAAAATTGTGACTCATCTGAGAAGACATCTTCCCAAGTCAAGAGTTTCTGATCCGTTCCGCTCCACATAAACCCTTGACCGAATAGGCTAAGTTTGACGGGGTTAGATATGCGTTCTCTGATTGGCCTCATGAAGGTCTTCATGAACCAATCAAAATCATTGTTTTATTTAAACTTAAACTATATTGTAAACAGAAAAACAAGCCAGTTTTAGTCCCAAAGATAACGTCATTATCATTAAATAACCCAGTTAAAGGTTTGACTAAGATTTTTAGTTGAATTATATCGAATTTATTACAAACTTCAAATATTATCTCCAATTCTCTGTTGAATTCGTTTACCCCGATTGGCCAATAGCAGAGGTCAGTAGAGTTCAAAATGTGCATGTCTCACTAGATGGCGTGACAGTAAACCCCGACAAACTTAGCCTATTCGGTCAAGGGTTTATGTGGAGTGGAGCGGATCAGAAACTCTTGACTTGGGAAGATGCTGAGAAGAGAACAGAACACGGATGACGTCATTGTCAAATTTTTGTGTTCTATTGCCACTGTAGTCGATTTCTGCGGCACTCTAATTTTAGTACAGGACGTACGGTAGGTCGGCGAGCCTTGAGATTTGCTTCCTGAAATCTGTTTCAAATTGCTTGAGTCGAAATCCGTTTGCTCGTTGCTCTCTGATGCCCACTGCCTAAAATGCCTCCACATAGGTATCAGGTTTCCATGTCCGATGGATCTATTAATTTAATACATATATCAACTTCAGAGTACAAAAGGTTATCAAAAAGTTCGTGGGCCTCTTGTTTGCATAATGTTTTCAATTCCACCATTCTAAAAAGTTTCACTTCTGGAGGAAATATTGGAAAAAAGACCTACGAAAGTAAAATAGAGCCTAGCTTTTGCAAAACACTTGTGATTTCACTGTTTGTGGCGTGCTAACGCTTTTCTTGTTGAGAAGTTTAATTACTATGTTACATCGTCACCCCATCAAAACAAGGAAGCAATGTTGGGAAACAAAAATCTCTCCTCCTTTTTGACGCCATTACAGACCCATAATTGTTTAGATATTTTATTCAAAAAGATTGTAAAAGTTCATAGAAGCTACAGAATAGGGTAAAATTGTAAATTTTATAGAATGATTACTGATGAAATGTTAACACCGTGGAATTAAAACGACTTACAGTATGTCATACCACGTGAGTGAAATAACAGGATTACAAAGACTCATATCAAGAGTTACACACGTCGAGAAAAAAGTCATCCCAGAGGCGATTGCGCCGCCTGGACATACAATTGTTTAAGAACATAAAATCAACAATTCATTCAAATTAAAAGATAATTTAGTACAATACTCTTTTATCAGTGGACTTTCAGTAAGGCATGGTATTCTCGACGTTACATAACTAGCGTCTGAAATTTACACAGCCTTTCTTTCAATGTTGAAATATACATTCTGGCGAATGTCAACGAGTGTATCAATGATCCAATAGTAGCGTTCTGTATGGCAGAGAGGTGAGGGTCTAAGTCGTCTCATCATTGTCAACAACAATTTAAAGTTGCTGATGTTATTAATTTCTTAACTACCAATGAAAATCTATTTGCAATTCGAGAGACGTTGATCTCATAGAGTCGAGAAAGTCACGCCCTACTGAAAGTCCATTTACTAAAGTCTATTTCTCTAAAAAAAAATGCATAGAAAAGATTATGCTTGTTAAGTATTTAAAAAATCCTTGATGTGTCTTTCGCGTTTTAACTTTAAGGCGCTAGTCCACGAACTTTTGATGCATGTAGATATGGCATATCAAACGTTTCAATTTTACAATACAAATAAAAATTATACAATAGAAATAAAAAAAAATTTAGAATAAAAATCAAAATTTACATTTCAAATGAAAAATTTTACATTGCAAATGGAAAATTATATAGAATACAAAATTTATACAATAAAAATGGAAAAGATTGAATATTGCAACGTTTGACTTGCCATACCGGTATTTAGATATTGTTTATAGCAAAATTATTTTGCGAATGATAATGAACAAGAAAGAAAATTTAAGAGTTCTGTTTTTATTTTAAAATATGCTATTTTTTTTTATACATTATTCATTGTATATAAACAAAATTTCATATAAATTTCTACAAAGTGGTATACAAGGGATTTTAAACTTACACACAAACCCTCCCTTACATCCACTCACACATATCGGATTTAACTGGAATTATACGGGAAAAATTAAGGTTGTTTTAGGAATTCACTACAAAAATTGTTTCACCAATCACAAAAAGCAATCACAAAAAGCAATCATCAAAAGCAAACATATTTAAAGGCATTCAAATAATTTTCAAATTAAAAGAAAAATGTCAATTTTATTCAAACATTTTCTTCAGTGAGTCCCATTTTTATCAAAAATGACAGTTAAGAGTTATTAATTGATACACACCTTTAAATGTTATATTTCATTTTTAAATGATTTATTAGACAACGAAAGTTTGGCCTTTTACATTGTAATAAGCAAGTAAAGATACATTGCTTAGTAGATAATATAATAACGTTTATAATAATGTTATCTTTAGTGAGTGGCATTTCCCCAAAAACAATATTTTTGAAATTTAAACGAATTCTTTTAGCAATTGTTCTTCAGATATGCATACTCAACAGGTTGAAGGAAACGTAAAGTCCGCTATAATAGTCAGTGGTATCTCACTACTATAGTGAAATTACGCTATATTTCCTGCCGCATGTTTATGCTCTTAAGCAAGAGCGATTTAACTTAAAATCTGAGAGAAATAGCTTTAGGTTTCGAAAAATTTATAAATCTAATTATATTCATATGAAATGAAAGTATATTGCTAAAAATCGCACTAAAAGTATCAATTTTTCAGACTTCTAGATGTATATGAAAGTGTTGCTGTTTAAACCACAAGGAAACATCAAATAACCAATCATCACTGCTCAATATTCAGCAAAAATTGTCTAAAATATCATTGACTCAGTTCAAATTTTCATTAATTAAAAATTGATGCAAAACATCAAATCGGTCGCAAACAATTTAGCATTTGTTAAAAAAGTACTTTCACAATTTTGAAAGCATATCCATGCAATGGAAGCACAAGATATTCAAAGCTAAACTAGAATCTTTAGAAGCGTCTATTTTCATCTTCAATAAATTCCTAATATTATTCATCATTGACTTTATTACAACGATGAGTCCATCTGATGAGCAAATGCATTAAAATTTCTATTTACTTAATTTTTTTTCAATTATTTATTTATATTGATTTGAAGACAGTCAAAAATTAAAAAGACCGAACCACGTGCAGATACCCTGGAACTTTATCACGTGATAATGCCCTTGGTTTCTGCTGCATGGCGCTTTGCAAAATGTAGGGAAAAAAGTATCCTTGTAGATCTATCATTCGCAGCTGTAACATATTCAAAACAATTTTTACTTGTTGAAGAGTTTTTCAATTTTTTAACCATGCACTATGTACCACGTCATTACTATCAGGAAAATCATCATTTCCTTTTATATATCTATAAAGTACCTTTTGTAAACTCTTTTTATATAGTCAAAATTATCAAATATCTTGATGAGAAATGACAATGAAATTGAAACATTATAATAACAATTAATATTTTGTTAAAAGCAAATTTTACTTATAATTTTCTACATGTTATCAATGAAGAATTATTTTACTGAACTATTACAAAATAACTTCTCATTTTCCATGTGCACTATCTAACACAACCACAAGAAGATCATGTTTCAATGAGTAAAATGAAGAAGTTAAACCGCGTAGTTTTTAAAATTTTCATTCGAAGTTTCACAAAAATTGAATTTGAAGTGAAAAATATTTGTATAGTCCAATAAGGAGAGCTGGAGACAGATAGACTTTTGAAGATCATAGAAGGTTTACAATTCCTTAATATTTTGGAAATTTTTTAGATGCTTCTTCTGCAACAAAATAGGCTATTCAGATATCCTTTTCTTTAATTTGTATCACATGTCTTAAGATGAAATTGTATAGTTATAAAAAATAGTTTACTTTGTGCTGGCACTGACATATCACAGGTGCGTGTAAAGAATCAAGTTTCTCAATTCTAGCTTCATACAGTTCTGCTTTATCCTTATCAGTGAGCCTTGCATAAAATGTACTTGCTGTTCTGTACGAAGACAGTGTGAATGGTACTAAATATGCCCTAGTCTTTTTGCGTGCCTTTGACAAACTGTAAACCCCACTATAATAAAAGAATTTTAGTAAAAACTCCACCTTTCTTGTAGCATTTTTATAACCTCTGGCTTCTGTAAGTTCAATCTCTGTTAGAAGCCACTTTTCACACTTATTGATAATGGAGTCCACTTGATATTCTTGGGCTAACGGAAGTAACTTCTCAATGATAATATCTGAAATGTATAAAATCAAACAAAACCCTCAATATAGTTATGTTGAACCTCAAGACTGACGTGACATTAATTAGCAATTCCTAAATCTCGGGCTTTGATTTACATGTAAGCAGTATATTTCAGAAGGAATCAGTAACACACTGTTTGAATAAATTATTTACATATTGTCTACATATACTTTTCCTTTTGAATATAATATATAGTTATTGCGTAAAATTAAACATAGAGTGTTTCTGGTCCATGTGGTATTAAGCAAAAATCTGTATCTACTGCTTCAGATAAAAACACATACTGGATCATTTTGAATGGTTTTCGAAAAAAATATATTTGATAATTCATGAAGACATGAACGGCACTTCAAGCAGGCATATTTCATGAAGCAAAGAAGGGTTTCATAATAAAGATAAAGGCATTAGGCGTTGCGGCTCATGTACTTCCTGAAAATTTTATATCTTATACATGTGTATTCACATTACAATGCGTATTTGCCCTAAGACTGTTATCAGGCTGAATTTAGTTCAGGGGGGGGGGGGCAAAAGCTTGAAATTCTAATTAGAAATTCAGTTTCGAATTATTTGTCATCAAGGAGCGACACTTAAGCTTTTAATTTGTTAAATGCAAACAATAATCAATTTGTAGGTCTGACCTTTTTCTGGTTGGTGGATATCAGTATATGACAGTGATGAAGTTTTAGAATTAGATAGCATTAGATAAGTTTTTAACCATAGAACTGAATTTTGAACGAGAAGGGAGATGTTAACAACACAATCTGGTGATAGCTGGCTATTATTATAAATAAATAAGGAAAATTGAAAATGGAATATTTGAAGTCATCTAATTTGTCAAAAGCTTTAGTTGCTAGGTTGCCCTTATCGTCTTTTGTCGGCACATCATCCAAATATGTAACAAATGTGGCAGACTCTTTAGCGTCTTTTTTGATGATCAGGTTCATTGGAATACTTGTATATCGACATAAGGGTGAAAATAAAATTGTGAATCGATAATACATCGTCGATGTTCTTAATGTCGAGTTTAAGGCGAAACAAACTTTGAACTATTTTTTCTCACATAGAATATTTTTAAGCAAATTCACTTAAATAGGAATATAATAAATTAGCTAACAAAGGAGCAAAATTACTGCCATTGTGACCATGGGAATCCCGACAGTTTGTTTGAAGACCTTGTCTCCGAAGACAACAAAAATGTTGTCAATGATGAACTCAACCACCCTTTTCATATCAACTTCAGAAAGTTTGTGGACCATGTCAATCCTCGTCATATTACATGTATATTCAAAAAATTTAAAATGAGCATTTTATTATATGTTCAAATATTCATTATGTTGATTTGTGAAGTCTCTTTCCATATCATTTGATAGAATTCTTGCTGTTAAATTCTTAAATCAACCTGTTTGTAAGCACCAGGCTTTGGTGAATAACATTGTAAAGTAATGCATTGCATTACCATTACTTCAACAATTTGGACGTTAAATAACCATTTCCAGTACTCTATTTTCTTTAAGTAATGCATAACATTACCATCACTTTTGTAAAGTAATGTATTACCATTACTTCTGGAGGTTTCTTCAAAAAAGAAATACCAACTTTGCAATTTTTTCATAAGCATGCACCCACCTCCTTCAAATCTATACATGATAAATGATAATTCGAAGAACAAGGTTCAATTTTGCCTTATCTGACCCTGTGAGTTTCTGAGTTAACAATGCATTAGATATCACTTAGATCTTTGTTGATTGCGTAATCTTTCAAAAATGACGTAATTTTCTGGCTAGTCAATGCATTATGTCGTCACGAAATGCATCAATTTCCAAACGCTAATTTTAAAGCTATTTTTCGATTTTTAATATAAAGCACAACCTCTGATCTAAAATATGCAACTAGTAAATGATAAAAATGTTTTTGAGGATTAAAACACGTTTTACTTTTTAGATCGGAGTATAATGCCATTACATGTAATGCAAATTTTTGGGCATTACACATTACAAGCATTACTTTGAGTTGATGTTATGCATTGCAATGCATTATCATTACAATTAGCATTACCTCAAGCCTGGTAACCACGGAGCAAGCTCAACAGCACTGGAACGTCAGAACGTAGCGTCATTAGGTTCTATGAAATACTCTCTCTTTACATTTTACACAGTATGGCCCAAAACAAGCATATTTATTAAATATGTATCTATATCATTTTGCTAACATTTGTTCCAGTAGCATACTTGTCTTTGTCAATGTTACATTTTTATCACAGGTGCTTGAGGACAGGACCCCCCCCCCCCTCCCACCAATATAGACCCCCGGGCCTGTTAGACTTTTTTCACATAAATTATATATGGATGACACATTTGTGATATAATCTATCCTATCAATTCAGAAAATTTGCTTAAACTTACATTTTATAAAAATATCTACCCCCTCTATATAAAAATTAACAAGGTTGCCAACTTCGTCTGCAAACCGAGAGGCACTGCCAAGAATTTTGGTTGAATCGTCTCATAAATCTAAACAAACCCCTAAAATCAACAACTCATATTGTAGACTGAATATTCTTTTCATTAACCACCAACTTTCATGAAGGTTAAGGCACTTAAACAGTCGCTATGACCAAGTTTTCGAAAGGATGTCAGGCTACAGTCAGCGTTTTAGCTTAGTGAACGGAAGTGACAAGGAGACGACTTTTTACCAAAATACACAGTTCTGCAGAAAGTCTGAGACACTGTTTTGAAGTAAACTTTTGAAGAAATTTGGTTGTTATACACTTTAAAAAATGTCTTTTAAATGTATTGGGAGAATAGAGTTCTAAACCGCTGATGCAAATGAAATGTCTCTAATTATTTTTAGGCGGGCTCATTGCTCGTAGAGCAATGCCCGGCTATTGCGACGGTGAGCAACGAAAATGCTGCTTCTTCACCGCCAAATTGAGTGTACGAGTAAAAAAATTGTACGTACGCCCAACCGCTGTTGAGAATACAAAATTCATTCAAATACCTCAAGAAATAGTAAATCGAATATTTTTATCAAAATATTAAATTGTTTAATATTTTTCCTGGCTCCTTTTACTAATATTTTACGAAGAAATTCAAAAGGTGCGAAAGGTTTTCACCAGGTATCCCTGTGTGCGTCATATTCTATAAATAAAGGTTGTACTATCAGGCTAACACAAATGCAGGGAACATCATGAATGACTTGATGCAAAACTCCCGCTGAGGACACACCAGTGCATAGTCGTTTGACCTTAATTAATCTTGCTGCATCGGTGTTTATTTACTTCTGTTTGAATATAAAACCCCGAAACGATACATGTGATAAATATTTTACTGCCTGTTAATTTCTAGCTATATTTTATTTAATTTTTAAAACTTTTTAATACTATACATGCCATTGAGATATTTTTATGTGTAACATATCCTCTAAACGTCTGAACTTGATTTTAAACTGTCACCACGGTCTTTGTTCATTACCCTGTAAATGAGCCCGGCTTTCAGTACTTCTGAGTACTTTGATTCAAATACCTGATTTGCATGTGACAGTTATGCCCTTTTAAAAATACAATTTATAAAAATATCTTCTTTTCCTCAAATATTTGTGTAAATCAACAAAACATTTAAAAGTAAAATTTTGATGAAGAATTCGTACAAAAAAAAAACAAGAATATATCTATTGTTGATATTTTACACGCATATTGGGTATATGGGTAACATCGGGAATTAGTTCTCTCCTCATTACTTCCGTTAGAAAAAAGCCCAGGGGTCTATATCGAAGGGGGGGGGGGGGTCCTGTCCTCAAGCAAATGTGATTTTTATTGCATAAATATGCTTTACCACAGGTGCTTGAGGACAGGACCCCCCCCCCTTCGATATAGACCCCTGGGCTTTTTCTACTTTTTTCTCATAAAAAATCTTTCATTGCCATATTTGTGATATGATCTATACCAGCAAATCAAAAAATTACCTAAAACAAACGTTCTATTAATTCTACCCTACAACAAGGTTGCCAACTCCGTAAAAAGCTTATTGAATTGAAGTAATGAGGAGAGGACTAATTCCCATGTTCCCCATACAAACAAATATGCGTGTAAGATATCGATAATAGATATAATCTTGTTTTTGTACGAATTCTTCATCAAAATTTTATTTTTAAATGTTTTGTAGATTTACACAAATATTTGAGGAAAAGAAGATAATTTTATAAATTGTATTTTTAAAAGGGCATAACTCTCACATGCAAATCAGGTATTTGAAAAATAATTAGAGACATTTCATTTGCATCAGCGGTTTAGAACTCTATTCTCCCAATACATTTAAAAGACAATTTTTAAAGTGTATAACAACCAAATTTCTTCAAAAGTTTACTTCAAAACAGTGTCTCAGACTTTCTGCAGAACTGTGTATTTTGGTAAAAAGTCGTCTCCTCGTCACTTCCGTTCACTAAGCTAAAACGCTGACTGTAGCCTGACATCCTTTCGAAAACTTGGTCATAGCGACTGTTTAAGTGCCTTAACCTTCATGAAAGTTGCATGGTGGTTAATGAAAAGAATATTCAGTCTACAATATGAGTTGTTGATTTTAGGGGTTTGTTTAGATTTATGAGACGATTCAACCAAAATTCTTGGCAGTGCCTCTCGGTTTGCAGACAAAGTTGGCAACCTAGCTGCAATAATGTAGCCCTCTCCTTTTTTTTTTTTTTTTTTTTTTTTTGGGAGAGGGCTACAACTCCTTAGGATCTCCGTAATGGTGCAGAGCGGGAGCGATTCGCTCCCGCATGGATTTCGGCTTAAATTGTTAGTAAATGGCTATTTTATTTATATGTCTTACCTGGACTTCCAAAATGTAGTTATCCCAGACATAAATCGATCCAAAAATATACAGAACAATCCATATATCAGTATTTTTCGTGTATGTCAACATCACAACTTAAATTTATCCGCCATGTTTACTGACCTTGACAGATTTTATTTCGGGACAGCCAATGAGATTAAGGATCTATAGGGAGCGGATTTCTTTGGAATTACCTTATTTTAAGCTTAAATATCGGTGTTTACAAAAAAATGAAACATGGAATGATTTTATTTATCGATGTTTAGTGTTACTATTCATCACAATTATTTATAAACATCGACATTTGCTTTATTGAGTTGTTCTAAATTTCAAGCGCAAGTCTCACTACGTCACGCGTGAACTGTCATGGCTGCCGAAGTAAATGCACAGATTTATTTTATATGGTTTTCGCGTTTAACGAGCTTTGATGTCGACAGTGAATAAAAAATTCGTCTTATTAGAAGTAAGTTGATAGTGAAAACAATTTATTCTGCCTGCAGTCGCCAGTATTTACAAAATATTTTTGCACCATTACGGAGATGCTGTGGAATTGTAGCCCTCTCCAGAAAATACCAGATAAAAAAAAATCGGAGAGGGCTACATTATTGCAGCTATTGGCAACCTTGTTAATTTATATATAGAGGGGGTAGATATTTTTATAAAATGTAAGTTTAAGCAAATTTCCTGAATTGATAGGATAGATTATATCACAAATGTGTCATCCATATATAATTTATGTGAAAAAAGTCTAACAGGCCCGGGGGTCTATATTAAGGGGGAGGGGGGGGGGTTCCTGTCCTCAAGCACCTGTGTTCTTTACAAGACCAGCAGCTGTGAAGCGCCTAACTCTCACAATGACCTTACAAAGTTTTAAATGTTTAGAACAGATTTTCACAGATAATACAAACTACAAATAAGTGGTCCATGAACTTTCCAAACAACCCTCAAACTTGAGTTAGAATCATCAGTTATTTCAAACAAAGTAATCTTGTTTAAAATCAATCGTCAGATAGGGAAAATTCCGACTATCATTTCTATTGAAACATCTTTTATTAGATTACTAGTATCATAGATTACAGAGCTCATCTCAACAAATATTGCCTTTAAGTAAGTTTAAGTCCCACATTAAATTGATGATCAAGTAGTGTATACATCCAAAGATACAAATTTTATGCAATTTTGATCAGATAGGACTTGCAGTTACTTAAGAATTCATAGACTTATCCAATAACAGATCCAGCAACCGAAGCAAGTATGGCCGTGAATATCCTTAGGCATATAATCCAAGATCTGGTCTGCATAGGGCTGGAAATGAGACCTATACCCTAAATTTTAACCTGCATCAAAAACTTTAACCTGCTCCAATACATTAATATGGTAATTTCTTTGCTGAAATTGCAGCATCTGAAATCTTGGCTCGTACAGCAAAAACATTAAAAGAATCTGCCATGCATCCCTGGGTCCGCTGTCATAAAACTTTGAGAATTCTCAAAAAAAAATTCTCAACTCAACTCTTGAGAATTACTCAGAATTTGAGAATAAAAGAGTTTAAGGAATTTTTATTTTTCTCATCTTGTTTTCGACGGCCGCTGAGTCTGAGAATTTAGAATTTAAGAAAATTCTCAGACTTGAGAACATTCTCAGACTTAAGTATGTTTATGACACCGGACCCTGATTAATGAAGGACATAGAATTACTTTTAAAAAACTTTACATTCAAATAATCTGGGACGCCGACACCGACAGCGAGGGTATTACATAAGCTCACCTAACTTCGTTGTGGTTAGCTAAAGAGCAGTTTTTTATATATTTACAAGATGTGTTTGTGAAACAGTATGCACCCGGCGACAGCAAAGTTTGAAAAAAACTATTTTAGCATATAGGTCACAAGGTCATTGACCTTGATGTCATTGAAAGAACTTAATCAGTGAAGTATGCCAAGCAAATGTGAAGTCTTTATCTCTCATTGTTCAATAGTTATGGCAAAGTTTCGAAAAAGCTATTTTTGCATATACGTCACAGTGAAGGTCACTAGGTCATTGACCTTCGTCTCATTTGTAAGAGATTAATTAGTGGAGTAAGCATACCAATGCAAATATGAAGTCACTATCTCTCATGGTTCAAAGGTTATGACGAAGGTTTAATTTGAGAACAAACAGACAGACAGGGCAAAAACAACATCCGCCCCAATCTATTGATTCTTTTAGGATAAAAAGCCCAAGTTTTAATTTATCGTGAGGAATGGTTGTAAAAAGTGTTGAAAAGTTGCACATTATGACGCTATTGAAAAAGACGATTTTCAAAAGTTTTTGGAGTATTTAAAAAACCTCATGCATCTGATTTACACCTCTTCTAGAATATGCTGTCGCACAATACGTCTGAATTTCCTCCTCAACAACAGTATATATTTTTGTAAGGAGTTAGGAAGGAGGTTTAGTACAGCATTTGGTTGACACTGCAATGTATCTATGAAGTTTAGGAATCCAATATAGGCAGAGAAAATCGAATCCACCTTGGTTGACTGGTATGTAAAAAAAATTAAAATTACAAGAACTAAATAATAGACCTGCATCCAAAACTTAAATGGAATTGTATGTCAGATCTAGAATCTTATGCAAGTGCATTAGATTGCATCCTTAGATATATCATCTATGCACGTTTAATCAACATAGGCCCTATAGTTACTCAATGAACCTGGTCACTCTTCCGGTAAATGTAGGTCAGCATCCAAAGCCAGGCTGGTAGTGTGCATCCATAGATTTATCATCCATGCAAATTTGGTCAAATTTGGTCAACATAGAGCTTACAGTTCCTTGGAAATGAGGCCATCAATCAACATCAACCTGTTCACTTATCTGGAAAATGAAGGTCCGATCTAGCATCCGAAGCACGTTCATTAGTGTGCATCCTCAGATGTACCATTCAAACAAGTCTATATAGGGCTCAAAACTACTCGAAAAGACTAAATTGCACCAAAAACAACCTGGTCGTTGCTATGCTGAAAATGCAGCATCTGAAACAATGAATGGTACATTGATACACACTTGATGTATCCTTCGTGCATCTCTGTGAAATGTTGAACAGATAAATATTTACCTTAAATGAAAACTGCTTCAAATTCATGTAACTGGGACGCCGACGCTGAGGGTATCACTTATAAGTTCCTTCTTCCTTCGTTGAAGTAAAGCTAAATTATATGTACATACGAAGAGTGATGTTTGCATACAATTAAAATATATACACCTCTAAAGTAAATGTGTGCGGGTGAAAGATTTAAAGTATATGTAAAACATTTTTGTGTATTTCACTTATACTATACGAGTGCACAAAAATTGCAATTAAAATCCAAGTCGGGTGTCTTAGCGACACGTTTCATTTTTACTGTTTTTCTACGGTAATTTTCTATATCATTAATAGTTTAAACGATTAAGGAATCTTTACCTAGAAACAAGCAAAGTTTGTTTTCACATAAAACACTGATATTCTACTTTCGGTTTAAATATATAGCCTCTGAATGAATTATTTCCATTCAATATTTAATATCTGAATTAAATCATTTTTTGTGACGTGTAAACAACCATTAAAGAAACTATATTAATACATACCATTAAAATCCAAGCATTTATTTGGGGAAAGGCACATCAAAAAGTATTCCATGTCTTTGTACTTCTTTCCAGGTAGTTCAATTTCAGTTGCATTTTTTTTTTTAAAATCGGACGAAAACATAGCTTTGAAGACAGGGGAGGCAAGAGAGAGAATTGATTTAGCGGTGTACATCTTTTTCCCTTCAACAACAAGAGCTACATCTGTAATGCCTGGTTCTTCGGGAAATTGTGTGCTTATCTTCTTATCAGTGAATTCCATCCCCTTTGCTTGACTTTCAAACGACATGCAGCCTTTGACGCAAACTAGAAGTAGTATAGCCTACTGTTGTATAATTAATTACTGATCAAGTGGAACAGAAAACTTTGCATAAAAAATAATGACTGAAAACTGAGTTACCTGGCCTTGATCTTACACTATGAAAAGATAACTCTAATTAAGAATTACTTGGCTTTTTGGTACATTATGATGACTCGATACCTCACTTCAAAAAGCGTTAGCATAAATAACGTATAAAACATAATAAATATTCAATCTGAATTTTGAAAAGTTACTGTTAAGTTTCGGTAATTTTTCAGAAGACTTTTTACATTAAATTCAAAATTATAATAAAATTTGAACGGGGATGTCAATTTTACTCAGTCAGCTAAGTCGAATAGAGGGAGGCTTTAGTCAGGAGTCGAGTACTCATGGAAATTTGATTTTTTATGACTTGTTTTCTCTTTTTGTCTACACAGACTACTTGTACAATATTTTTACTAAATACATGTACAGAATTGCAAAAGCTCGCGTTTGTGTTTTCTAGTACAATACCTCATGGATCTGATAATGATCAGGGGTCATTTAAACCTCAGCCAGTGACTCGTGACTGATGAACGGTTAAAGTGTACCTCTAATTAAAAATACACTGAGAGCTTGCAATAAATTAATCAGATTTTGCACAATCAATAAGTACAAATTTGAAGTGACTGAAAGAAAAAAAAATTCGTTGATTACTGTCCCCAACTTCCATGTTTTTACAAATATGCAAGACCTTTTTAATTAATAATAAGTTTGATTCTTCTTTAGTTAATTATTGCGTTAACATGATCTTATGGTACTGCAGGTTGAAACATTATAAACTTAGTGGAGCAAACAAACCAAATAATTCTTAAAAATCCTTTCAATTTACAAAACTAAAAGGAAAGCAATCCTTTTAAATCATTTTATTGGTAGCAACTATTTTCTCTTCGCATGCACTTGTTTATTTAGCGGAAAATTTAAGTTGCAATCGAAAAACATATTTATGTGATACTAGAGGTACTGTAAATAATAAGCCCACTAAATGATAACCATCCCCCCCCCCCCTTGGTTATAATGGCAAAGTCCGTGATTTGCATTGCGAGACCCGAAATAAGTGTCAGATAAAAACGTTAAATAGGAGGTGCACAATGGCATTGTCATTTAATTTTAATCAGTTGTATAGGAGTTGCGGTACCCTTAAATATTATAGAAAAAATGACCGTGCTCATGTTTGTGGTATGAAAGAGTTGCGGATAAGAGATGGGTACCCTTCAATATTACAGAAAGAATGGCAGTGTTCATTTTTACTCAAGGAAACCCGAAATATGTGTCTGATACAAATGTAAAACTTAGGCAATCAGAGAATACAGAGCTCACACAACGAATGTTGTCTTCAAGTAACCAAAAGTCACACAATTAACCAACATTCTAAAGGTGTACATCCAAAACTGCAAAATTTTTGCAACTTGATCAGATAGGTCTTGCCGTTAATTTTGAAAAGACCTTTATTCAAAAACTTCAACTAGTCGCTCATCAAGAAAATGTAATTCAAATCCAGCATATGAAGCAAGTTTTAAAGTTTTCATCCCTTGATCATCATTTGTGCAAGTTTGGTTAATATAATGCTTATAGTTTCTGGGTGATAGACCTGCACCCATAACATTACCTGGTCCATTATCTGTATGTGGAATTCAGCATCCGAAGAGAGTCCATTAGTGTGCATCCTTACATGTATACTCCATGCAAGTTTGTTCAACATAGGGCTTATAGTTACTTGGAAATGAAACCTGCACCAAAAACTTTAACCTTAAATTTTCACTCATCCGGAAAATGTAGGTCAGATTCATCATCAGGAGCAAGCCTGGTAGTATGCATCCTTATATGTATCATCCATGCAAGTTTGGTCAACATACATTTGTAGGGCTAATAGTTACCTGGAGATGAGACCTACACCAAAACTGAACCAAAAATGATACCTGCTCCAAAACCATTAACCTGGTCATTTGTTTGCTGAAATTGCAGCGCCTGAAACCTCGCATTGAATGGTACAAAATAAAACACACTAGAAGCATCTTCCATGCATGTCTAAACAATATAGGGCATGGAGGTACCTAAAAAGAAAATTGCTCCAAAAAAATTAACCAGGGACGCCGACGTTGACACCGTCGAGGGTATCACATATGCTTCCCCAACTTCCTTGAGCTAAAAAGGAGGTGCAGAATGGCACTATGTTTGAAAGATTCTATTACAGTCTAATTAAATTGTATTCGATCAATAGTATAAGAAGAGTTGCAGACAAGAAATGTGTATCCTAAAGTTTAACAGATAGACGTACAGATGGACGGATATCCCGATCACTATCTACCCTCCCGCTTTTCAAGCGGGGGTATAAAAAGCTGTATATGACACCAAAAAGCCTGAGCTTGAATTTATCGTGGAGAATGGTTGTATAAAGTATTAAATAGTCGTACGTTTTGATGTTATTGATTTGGGTAAAACTTTGTGATATCAAATTTTCTCAAAGTTCCTTGCAGTGGAATTTCTTAAAAATACACCCAGACGTTGGCGAAACATGGAAATCAAAGAGACAATAGACTAAGTATTCCGGATGGTGCCTGGCACAGGCTCCAAAAGCCACCACTAGTGTCTAGCTCAACCTGTTGGTCGTTTAAACTTATATATTTGCCTACGAAGAAATTGATGCCCCGATGCTGTGAATATTAGTAATATTTTTAATTAGGCCTGAAAACATAACAATGAATTAAGTACATTGTATTTAAAAAATATATTAAAGAACCGTATTAGAAACTAGAAAGTTAAAGGCAAATTTATAGGCAATATGCAAACCATCTACCATTCCGGTTTCAAAGGCGATTAATAATTAAAGAAAGATTACATGAAAATAAATTATGTTATGGTTTTAATACGGCCTGTATCTATGCTCTTTTTATGGGGTCATCTTTTAAAAAAAAAAAAATGTTTAGTTGCCCTCTCCCGACCGACGGACTTAAAATGGTCCGCCTCAAAACTTTCTTTTACATTCCAGAATATATATTGTTTTCTTTTTATTCCTCTTAACCCGTCAATATATATGTTAAAATTTCCAGGAAAAAAGATTTTCTTACCTCCAATAATTTTACCCTGAGTCGAGAGAGGGCAACCAATAATTAGTTTAAAGGTGATCCAGATTTGCATTGTTTTAACATTTTTAGATCGACACCGTTCGTCATATAACTTTTTCATTGTAAAGGAGAAATTTTGCATGTGCTCCAACGTATTATACAAGTGATGTAAATCAAATGTCCAAAGTACGTATTTTTTTCATTTAGAACAATTAAAATCACTACATTTTCACTACAAGATAAAACGGGACGTGGAGATCGGTCCCTCGGACGAGACTGTATAAACCGAGGTGCCGTGTTGCAATAGGTGTTGGCACGAAAAATTCCTCACTGCTACATGTGAAGGAGAATACTTGCAGTGGCCTAAAATTCGCCATTTAGATATACTGATGGTGTTTTATCAATTGATAATAATTTCTTCCATCCAAGTGAATAGTAAACATCACAGAGTCTATCACATTTGTGTCATATTTGGATGTTTAATTTCCATGGACGATAAGGGCAGATTTCAAACAAAATTGTATGACAAATGATATGACTTCAGCTTCTCCATTGTCAACTTTCTATATGCCACAGCCAAGGGAAGTTTTAATCCTATCTCTTCATTTATACAAATTTCATTTATTAAGCAGCGTTCGTAGAAGAAATTGAGTTCTGATTTTTTTTTTTTATAACCAAGTAGTTCGTGAATGATTTAACTAGATAGGGAATAACCCCATATTTCTATGTAGATGTAAAGAATTATATTGTTGAATCAATCAAGACTTTTGTTATATTTGTGTAGATGGATCAAAGATTAGATGGTCGGTAACCTAATATAATATAATTATGTATACTTTGGGAATTTACTAAAGAAGCTGAGTTGCAGTTCTGTCTTCATTTAATAGGTTGAATAAAAACCATTTCCTGACATTGAAATGTTTTATTAATTATCATTTGAACAATTGCAAATGAAACATGTACAAATAATGAAGCATGAAAGTTATAAATTACCAGATACATATTTGCTCAATACGTATACACCAACACAACCTGACTGAAAGATAAGAATTTGCGGGTCCATAGTACAGTATACTACACTGAAACTTTATGTAACCTCATCGTAAGAAGAAATGCATTTAATTTCAAATCAATTTATGCGAATGACTGAAGACACTTGCGTGCAACTGGAAATGTCTGACAAGCGAAGTGCTGTGCTCAAATTATACATTGCATCCAAACACCACTGTGTATAAAGGTGTAAGTTTTGTGATTCTGTGCTTCCTCAACCAAGTCTTCATCTAAAATAATAAAAAAAATATTTTTTTAAAGTATCAATGAACTTCTGAATAATATTTAATTAAGAACTTTGATAATTTGTAAGTAATGATATGAGATATGGATTTTGTCCTCTTGACAAGCCTTCATTTAAATATACAACTGCATGTTAACATGCAAATTATACTTATTTTTAAAACATTGTTTAAGCAACTAATATAGGTGACTTTGTTAATTTGGAGAGGGAGGGGGAGGTATATGCTTAATCAAGTACATACAGAAAAGTTTAAAAACAAAAATTTTAACACGTACTTTGGAAAGGAAGAAAGACTGGACAGTAAATTATATAGTACATGTATTTGTTTCATTGTAAACATTAGATACTATATCACAAAAGGGTTCAAAGATGATCGCGCTAAGTTGACTTTGCCCTTTATTTATACATATAAGAGTTACATTATGTTCTTAATTTAAGTTGATGAACTGCAAAATGTATAGGTCAGTATTCGTCTACAGCATCCAACGTATACATAGCACAAAACACATATGGTCTGTATGACGTCTATGTATCTGAAAGTTATCTAAACATCCTAAATAAACGCCTTCAATGTAATGACAGATGTTGCT